TCTATTTTCGTTTCCTTTTCCCTGTTACAAACTTATGCACAAAGACATAATACCCTGTACCACAGTGTGGTGAAGGGTATAACATTTCGATTGAAAAACTTGTATAAAATAGTTAAAAATCGCATATTCCTGGGGTACGGTGGACCAATATTGATACATTTTAGAAGACAGATTTTATTCCAAATGAAAATCCGAAATCGCGGTTGATAATTGTTGGTAAAGAAATTTGGTTTCCAATAACAACCCAAAGTATCAAATTACAGGGACCTCGGTCGAAAAACGCACTGAAAAACCTCAAATGCTATGCCTAAACGTGGACCTATATATCTCATATTCGAACATGACCTGCCTCCAGACAAGAGACAGCTTTATGCTAAATTTTGACAATTTATCTCAATCGAATTCCGCCAACAAACGCAAAGTTTTTGAAGAGATGAGAGAAGAGATGATTTATTATGTCTTTGTACATATGTTTGTAACAGGCAAACGGAAACGAAACATGGTTTATTTTGAGAATATGCATTGAATCACTTTCTAATTCGATTTATGCATGTCCGTCTGTCCGTCCGTCTGTTGATGTTAAATTGTAAACAAAGTACAGGTCGCATTTATGATCCGATTTGGATGAATTTTGGCACAGTTCACTTATTTGACCCAAGGACGAACCCTATTGGAATTGAAGAAAATCGGTTCAGATTTAGATATACTTACTTAGCTGGCTTGTTAAAGAACGGTTGTTCCAAAAGCCGAGCTTAAAAAAATTTCCAAGCGCGTCGGTCTAGTGCGTCTAGACCGACGCCCTTGAACTTTCCATCTAATTCGTGGCCTTCCCCTTCTACGGGAACCATCAGTAGGCTCGTTTTTATATGCCTTTTGAGCTGGGGCATTCTCATTCATCCGCACAACATGGCCTAGCCACCGTAGTCGCTGCAGCTCAATACGACTAACTACGTCGTACTCATGATTCATTCGACGCTGATATTCACCGTCGACGCAGATCGCCCCGTAGATCTTTCGGAAATTTTTCCATTCAAACACCCCAAGAGCTGCCTCATCTGCTTGCGCAAGTACCTATGCTTCTGATCCATATAATAGCACGGGTAGTATCAGCGTCTTTTAAAGTGTGAGTTTGGTCTGGCGGGAGGTGGCCTTGTTTCGAAACTGCTTACTTAGACCAGTAGCATCTGTTGGTCATCACAATTCTTCTCCGAATTTCATTCGTTTCATTTATGGCGGTACCGAGGTATATAAAATCATTAACTACGTCGAAGATGTAATTCTGTAATACTGGACGTCTTGTGCGTTGATACCACCAGCTTGGTCTTCTCCCGTTTACTGCCAGACCCACTTTGGCAGACTCCTTTTCAATTTGTTTGCAATGTTCGAGAGATTTAGATATAGCTTCCATATATAGTTTCGTCTGATTTTTATGAATGATGTACCAAACTCCCAATATTTGTCCTATTGGGACAAAATTATGCACAGAGTACTGAATTAGGTCCACACTGATGTCTGAGAAGTTTTGTTAGAATCGGTTCAGATGTAGATATAGTTTTGTCCGATTTTGTGTGAATGATACACCAAACTCCCGATATTTAGCCGATTGATCAAAATGTTCCATAGCGTATGCAATTGAGAAAAAAATGATGTGTGATAAGGTTTGTTGAAATCATGGTACAGGGTATTATGTCTTTGTTTTACGTTATACCAAATTTCGTGCTAATCGAAACTTATATAGGGACTTTGGTACACCATTTACATTAAATCGGACGCCAAAGATTCTCAGGATATTGTATATATTAACATCTCTTGTAGTTGGCCCTCTCCAACTTTTGAACTTTCCTTTCTGGTTTTACATAAAAAAATATTTTTTTTAACAAAACTATAGGCGGTATATTTTAAATATATTTTTTAACAAAATCCTTATATGCTTTGAAGAATTGTTAAAAAATATATCTACTGAAGCGCAACATTTAAGAATATATTTTCTGTGCATACGCTCGCTTCTGTATACCACAAATCTTCGCTATTGCTACCGCAGATAAATAACATTTTAAACTATTAATATCTTTAATTTTCTAAATATTTTATAATTTAATTATAAAAATTTCATTTTGGTAATGAAAACTCCATATTTTATTATTACCCGAAATATGCCAACGGAAATGTTTACATTATATTATTTGCTTTAATTAAATACCAATACAAAAAAACTATAATTCCGAATAATTAATTATTTTTAACAAATGGCATGTTTGGGTTAGTTTCATTTATAGTGGTAAATATTTTTATTTCAGCAAATATAGGAATGTAGATATGTATAATTAAATTTAAAATAATATTAGTTAAAACATTTAATTAGAGAGCTATTATTACACTAGACAACAAGATTATAATTGGGGTTATCAATATCAGGATAAAATGAAATTGTGAAAAAATGAATAGAAAATTGAATGTCAACCTTTGGAAATGTGATTGGGTCTGACTATTTCGAAAAAAAAACCGGATCAATTTTAATTTTACTAGAGTTTCTATATAGACATAATTTTGATGTCCTGATAGATAGATATCAGGGTATTCCACGACAGAGGGGTCTACGACCCGAGTGTTACTCGGCCAACGTCTGTCACCTCAGTTCATTGTGTAAAAGCAATAGGGCACATGTCACTTATTTGGCTCAAGGACGAATGCTATTGAAATTGGAGAAAATTGGTTCAGATTTGGATATAGTTCCCATATATAGTTTTGTCCGACTTTTTGGTAAATGGTGCACCAAACTCCCAATATTTGTCCAATTGAGACAAAATTTTGCACAGAGTACTGAACTAGGTCTAGATTGATATATGTCAAGTTTTGTTGAAATCGGTTCAGATTTAGATATAGCTACCACATAATAGTTTCGTCCGATTTTATGTATACGGAGCACCATACTGCCAATATTTGTCCGAATGAGATAAAATGTTGCACAGAACATTGAATTAAGCAATAGTTGATGTATGCGAAGTTTTGTTGGAATCGGTTCAGATTTATATATAGCTCCCATATATAGTTTCCTACGATTTTATGTATATGGTGCACCATACTATCGATGTTTGTCCGATTGAGACAAAATTTTGCACAGAGTTCAGAATTATGTCTAGATTGATGCATGTCAAGTTTTGTATTGGATTTTGTGTCGAGATAAATTTTGGATGCCGCACTGTGTTGCAGCATAGCAAATTGTGTAAGTCACGCTTGCCCAAATACGTCCATTTATATATAGATCTTTTACATACGTTGCTTGATGATTGACATTCAGTTCTTCATAAATTTCAGATTGTACAGATCAGCCCCGTCCGACTTTTGAACTTTCCTTACTGGTTTTTATACCCTTCACCACAATGTGCTACTGGGTATTATGTCTTTGTAACAGGCAAAAGGACTCGAGATAGACCCATGGTTCCTTTTGAGAATATGCATAGAATCACATTCTGAGTCGATTTATGCATGTCCGTCTGTCCGTCCATGTATTTTTATGAGCAAAGTACAGGTCGCATTTATGATCCGAATTGGATGAAATTTGGCACAGCCCATTGGTTTGGCCCAAGGACGAACCCTATTGAAATTGGAGAAAATCAGTTCAGATTTAGATAGAGCTCCCATATATATTATCGTCCGATTTTAGGTAAATGGTGCACCAAAGTCCCTGAAAATCATTAGATTTGCTCGAATTTTGGCATAGCGTATTGAATTAAGTCGACAGTGATGTGTGGCAAATTTCGGGAAAATCGGTTCAGATTTAGATATAGCTCCCGGATATAGATTCGCCCGATTTTAGGTTAATGGTGCACCAAAGTCCCTGAAAATCCTTAGATTTGCACGAATTTTGGCAAAGCGTATTGAATTATGTCGACAGTGATGTGTGCTAAATTTCGGGAAAATGGGTTCAGATTTAGATATAGCTCCCATCTATAGATTCGCCCTATTTTAGGTGAATGTTCCATCAAAGTTCTTGCAAATCTTTGATTTACACGAATTGCGGCATAGCGTACTGAATTAAGTCTAGAATGATGTGTGTTAAGTTTGGTGAAAACCGGTTCAGATTTAGATATAGCTCCCATATATAGTGTTAAGTTTGGTGAAAACCGGTTCAGATTTAGATATAGCTCCCATATATAGTTTCGCCCGTTTTAAGTAAATGGTGTGCCAAAGCCCCTTAATATATTTCGGTTTGCCCGAAATTTGGCACAGCGTAATGAATTAGGTCTAGAATCATATGTGTTAAGTTTCGCGAAAATCGGTCCAGATTTAGATATAGCTCCCATATAAATTTTCGTCCGATTTAATGTAAATGTTGCACCAAAGTCCCTATATATATTTCGGTTTGCACGAAATTTGGCACAGCGTAATGAATTAGGTTTAGAATGATGTGTGTTTAGTTTCCTGAAAATCGGTTCAGATTTAGATATAGCTTCTATATCTGACCAAATGAAAAATTTAGTATCGGTTGCAGAATGACTTGTTTATGGATCCAATTTCATTTTGCTGGTAATTTAAAAATGCGACACCTGTTAGGATTCATCTGCTGAATATACCCAAAATGGTGAAGGGTATCATATAGTCGGCCCCGTCCGACTTTTGAACTTCCTTATAAGCGTAGATTTTTTAATAAAATATTTTTTAAGGACTCCACATAACCATGGATTTTTTAAGCCGTATTTTTCCATTTCAACTATTTCCTGCCAGACAGTGTTTATGTTTTGGCATAACGACGACATCAACAACGATGACGATGCTCATGTTGACATTAATCATAACACACACACATCCAGCAACAACAGAAAACTGTCATCTCATCCCCAGCGAAATAGTTTTTCAAGGTCAAACAAATGCCATGTTGTGGTTGTTTCACAAATTGTCATTTCAATTTTATGGATTTGTCAATTAGAGTTATTATTTATTATTATTATTACTAATATTTTTAATTTTAATTATTTATATATAATTTTTTTGGGGCTTACCAAACTTGTCAACATATAAATTTGTAAAGCGCAAAAAAACAAAAATCCGAACGCCTAGACGGCCAGCAGCATAGACAGGCGAAATCAATTCCAATAATACGTCGCGTCGTCAAATGTTGGAATGTGCAGTCAAATGTGTAATCCGATATTAATCAAATTTAATTATTTGATTTTTAGTTTGAAATATTGTTGTTGTTGTTGTTGTTATTTTTGATGCTGTGGCTGATATTTTTGTGGTGGTGGCAACTTTGTGTGAATTTGTCAACTGTAATACTAATTGAGTTGTTAACTTTATTTCCAAATATTTATTTTTTTACTTTTCAACTGATTTTATTTTTCAAAAATTAATTTAATTTCATTTACTTTTTATTTTTTGTTTCAACACTTGACACTTAATAATTAGCTAAATATTTTATTATCATTAGCACTTCTCACTTTTTTTGTTGGTGTTGTATTTTAAAAATTTCGTCACCATCAAATCGAATATTTATATTTCGGGGAATTTAATTTTTTTTCTGAAAAGAGAAAGAAATAGGAAAAAAAAATTATTAAATTGTTAAAAACAAAATAAAAACTAAATTTAAATAAAAAAAAATATTTGTTTCCAACACAAAGACGTGGATTTTTTAAAAATATTTTTTTAAGGACGACACAAAGTTATTTTTTAAAGACAACACAAAGGCGCGGATTTTTTAAAAATTATTTTTTAAGGACAACACAAAGGTGTGGATTTTTTAAAAATTATTTTTTAAGGACAACACAAAGGCGTGGATTTTTTAAAAATTATTTTTTAAGGACAACACAAAGGCGTGTATATTTTAAAAATTATTTTTAAGGACAACACAAAGGCGTTGATTTTTTAAAAATTATTTTTTAAGGACAACACAAAGGCGTGGATTTTTTAAAAATTATTTTTTAAGGACAACACAAAGGCGTGGATTTTTTAAAAATTATTTTTTAAGGACAACACAAAGGCGTGGATTTTTTAAAAATTATTTTTTAAGGACAACACAAAGGCGTGGATTTTTTAAAAATTATTTTTTAAGGACAACACAAAGGCGTGGATTTTTTAAAAATTATTTTTTAAGGACAACACAAAGGCGTGGATTTTTTAAAAATTATTTTTGAAGGACAACACAAAGGCGTGGATTTTTTAAAAATTATTTTTTATTGTTTAAAAAATTTTTTTTAAAACATGGATTTTAAGAAAGGACTATCAAAAAAACTTTTTGGACTTTTAGTAACAAACATTTTTGAGTGATACAATAAAATATGACCTAGTTATGTGTGTGTGCGACTGTGGGTACTAAGTATGAAAAGTAATACCCTTCCCATTTTATGCGATATAAAAAAATAGTTCCAAATTATGATTGTTATTTAATATTTAATTACATTTTGCCACTTTCATCTTCAATTTGTCATTGTCAAAAAATTATGATGCGCCCTCCCACCCTAGCTCCACCTCATCTCATCTTTCATTGTCAGCTCACCTCAGCTCAGCTATTGTCTAGACGTCTGGCTGTCTTTACATAATTTTTTTAATTTTTGTAAATTCACAAAAAAACTAATTTTGCGGTTTTGTGAAATGTTTACTTTTTAATTATCGTCTGCTTAAACAGTCAAATATTAACAGTTAACGTTTTTTTATTGTTTATTATTTGACAACAACTACTATTACCGACGAGTACTGTTGTTTGTACAGTAAAGTGATGAGAGTGGTTAACTTTTTCCGCATCTTTCATGTTCACTCCCCCATAAAAATAAGACACAAAAATTCATAAAAATTATGTATTTCTTTTTATGAATGTAATTAATTTTGAAATTATGTTGAAATTTGTTTATGACAAACATTTGAGTATACCGCCATGTGATATGGTGGTATTTTGAGACTTGTACTTTGATTATAAAAATTAAATAGGGGCGGAGTTTCAGACGATGATTTTTTCCTGGTTCATTAATTAATATATATATATATATATATATATGGGAGCTATATCTAAATTTGAACCGATTCCAACAGCACCTGATTCAGTGCGCTGTGCAAAATTTTGTCCCAATCGGACAAATATTGGGAGTTTGGTGCATCATTTACATAAAATCGGACGAAACTATATATGGGAGCTATATCTAAATCTGAACCGATTTTCTCCAATTTCAATAGGTTCCTTGGGCCATATAAGTGAACTGTGCCAAATCGCATCCACATCTGATAATAAATGCGACCTGTACTTTGTTAACAACAATACATGGACGGACATGCGTAAATCGACTCAGATAGTGATTCTATGAATATTATCAAAGGGAACCATGGATTTATCTCTATTCCTTTTGCCTGTTTCAAACATATGCACAAAGACAAAGTACATGCACAGCTCACTTATTTGGCCCAAGGACGAACCCTATTGAAATTGAGAAAAATCGGTTCAGATTTAGATATAGCTCCCATATATATCTTTGTCCGATTTAATATAAATTGTGCACCAAAGTCCGTATATATCACTCGATATGCACGAAATTTGGTACAGGATACTGAATTGAGTCTAGAACGATGTGTGCCAAGTTTCGAGAAAATAGGGTCAGATTTATATATAGCTCCCATATATATTTTTGTCCGATTTAAGGTAAACGGGGCATCAAAGTCCCTATATATCTTTCGATTTACAGGAAATTTTGCATAGCGTACTGAATTAGGTCTAGAATGACGTGTGTCAAGTTTCGAGAAAATCGGGTCAGATTTAGATATAGCTTCCGTATATTTTTTCGTCCGATTTAAGGTAAACGGGGCACCAAAGTCCCTATATATCTTGCGATATGCACGAAGTTTGGCATAAGGTACTGAATTAAGTCCAGAATGATGTATGCTAAGTTTCGTAAAAATCGGTTCAGACTTAGGTATAGCTCCCATATATGTTTTTGTCCGATTTGATGTAAATGGTGCACCAAAGTCCCTATATATCTTCCGATTTGCACGAAATTTGGCATAGGATACTAAATTGAGTCTAGAATGACGTGTGCCAAGTTTCGTAAAAATCGGTTCAGATTTAGATATAGCTCCCCAAAGTCCCTGAAAATCATTTGATTTGCACGAATTTTGGCGTAGCGTATTGAATTAAGTCTAGAATGACGTGTGCTAAGTTTCCTGAAAATCAATTCAGATTTAGGTATAGCTTCCATATATAGTTTCGACCGATATTAGGTAAATGATGCACCAAAGTCTCTGAAAAGCATTCGATTTGCACGAATTTTGGCATAGCGTACTAAATTAAGTCTACATTGACGCGTGCTAAGTTTCGTGAAAATCGGTTCAGATTTAGATATAGCTTCCATTTTAGGTAAATGGTGCACCAAAGTCTCTGAAAATCATTCGATTTGCACGAATTTTGGCAAAGTCTAGAATGATGTGTACACCTATTATATATATTTTCGTCCGATTTTAAATAAATTGTGCACTAAAGATGACAAGTTTGCTTCAAAACAGTTCAGATATAGATATATCGTAGCTTCCATATATAATTTCGACTTATTTATTGAGATTAAATTTTAAACAGTGCAGCATACCGAATAGCGTGTGTCAAGTTTGCTTTAAATCGATTTACACAAATCTGTCCCACTGTGTGCAAACGACTCTAGACTTGCCCAAATCAAATGAAATTTAGCATAGGTTCCAGAAAGTCATAAAAATCACATATTTAAGTTCGTTCAATTTTATGTCAAAATTCCTTCAAAAAGGCGACGTCTTTTCGGATGCATATGTTGAGTATACCCAATGTGGTGAAGAGTATCATATAGTCGGCCCAGTCCGACTTTCCTTACTGGTTATCAAAAACATTTCCGATTTATTGTTGATTAAATTTTGCAAAATATTGACCATATAGAAGGAGTGGACCAATGGATCCCATCTTCGGACTTAATCTAGACTTAGTAAAGATGAGGGGTTAATTAAAATTGGGTTCAAATCGGACATTACATTCGCCTGATATTGCATTTATAAATATTGAAAATGTTGTGTCTCTGTTGGGGAGGTACCAGAAGGAGTAGACCAATGGATCCCATCTTCCTGCTTGATCTAGGCTTGTTAAAAATAATGGATTGTACAAAGTGCCGTTAAAAGCGGATAGTTTGTTTACATGTTATTATAAATTAAATTTTTAGCACAATTTTGATAATTTTGTGGGGATGTACCAGAAGGAGGGGACCGATATTCCCTATCTTTGAACTTAAACTAAGTTTGCAAGAAATATTAGGATGTGCAAAGTTTGGATGATATCGATTATTCCCTTCGTGAGTTTTTGTGCGCACCAGGTAGACGGACAGACGGACAACGGACGTACGTGTCTAAATTGACTCCACATTTTCTGGAACGGACTTGGTCCAAAGAAACATGGGGTCTATAACCAATATTTCGATGAGGCACATTTTCATCGTATCAAAGTGTATATACCCTCATTAGCCATAGGGCTGAGTGTATAAAAAGTTAATTTTGAGGTCTGAGGTAAAGATTATATTTCGAGGGTCTGTCAAAGTCATATTAGTGGATTTTAAAGAATAAATCCTGAAAGTAGATCGAATCCACAAACGTTGTTTTTCAAACAATATATTCTAGTGGTCTACTGATGACATACGCGTGGAGTTTTAAAGAATCGTTTCAGAGGGTCTATCAATATCTTATCAATGAGGGTCTACCAATGCCATAAGCATGGATTTTTAAGTATTATCAGAGTCATATGCCTAAATGTTAAAAATGATTTATTTTCAGAGATTTCTGAAGGTATCAATAAAAGTGGTTTTTAAAATAATATATTCTGAAGATATTTTTTAATGAAATATATTCTAAAATATATATATAAGAGCTATATAAAAATCTGAACATATTTCAACAAATTATGCACTGTACCAAACTTCTTCTCGAAATTTTAAAAATATTTTATTGTTTTAAAATAAAATATTTTCTGATGTAAAAATACAAAACACCAAATTCTATTTCGCCCCACTGTGCCAAGTAGTTGTATTTTGGTGTTTTGCATTTCTT